TGTAGCAGATAGCAATAGCCACCCGGCACTTTGATGGCTGAGTGAGGGCAGCCGGCAACGGCAGCCAGCAACGGAGGCAGAAGTCTAAAATAAAAACAATGTGCAGTGCAGTAAAGATGTGCAATGCAGGGCAGTAGTCCAATTCGAAAGTGTTGCGAGAACGAATGGTAGCTGAGGGTGATAGAGGGTAACAGAGGCGGAGAAGCGGCGAACAGTCAACGCCAAAAGGATGAAATAAACGTTATTTGTTGTTATTGTCAAAATACTTAAAATAATGTTTTGGGTTGTTCATTTATAGTTAATATCTGTCATTTTACAGGATTTTGCAAGTTATTTAAAAAAACATGATAATTACTATAAAAGATTACAGTTATTTCCTGTAAAATTACGATCTTTTTTTAACACTGTAGACAAGCAGAGACGCGTGCGACGACCTGGGTTTCAGAACGGGGAAAAGACAGAAAAAATTGGGTGTCGTCAGCGTAGCAATGGTATGAAAAACCATGCGGGCTAATGACAGATCCGAGCGAGTTTGTGGACAGAAAGAAGGGGAGGGGACCAACAACAGAATATATAATTCTTTCTCTGCCACTACCTGGTGTCTGCACTGAAGGGACACCTGTTTCGTCAGCATTATAAATCATGTTGGGAGGGAACTAATGCCAGTAAAACCTATTGGATCATGTGATCTCTTGCACACCTGAGAAGTGGAGTCAGATGTCTTACCTGGATTTCACAGCTGCTCTCTTTCACATGCGCTCCTCCCATCCTTCACCACCAGAGGTCGCTCTGATGTTATGTTGTTCTCATATGCCACTGAAAGCCACCTTACCATATTCCTGGAGATTCAATTGTTTCCTTTTCAGCGGTTGAGCAAAGTAAAACAAAAAGAACAGACTGCAGCAAATTCAGATTAATAAAACCTGGGTCCAAAGATGGCCTCTATCTTTAATTTAGTTAATCTTGATTACTACTGTCTTTACTAAGTCAGACATGCACTGGGTCACTGTTATAGAGAGCAGCTATTCTTATTATTAATTATTATTATTATTATTATTATTATTATTATTATCATTATTATCATTATTATCATAGCTGTCATTAGTTTAAAAAAAAGCTGCAGGTTTATGCAGTGCTCAATTGAAATCAATACGTATCAATACGTATCAATTGTAATTGCCCAACATGCATTTTCTTCACGCTCCAGATTCGCGCATCAGTGCATTGTTTTAATTGTAAGGAAATAATTGTTGTTTTTACACTTTGGACTGCATATTAAAAATGTGAAAAATATTGATAAATGATGACAAACATACATTTAAATAAATATTATATATATAAATATTTTTGAAATGAGGTGAGTTTCCTTGTCGCCGGTCAACAAATTATATTTATCTTGCACAATGAAATAACACTAAATACTCAAATGTTACAGGATTAATAAATCACTGTAACAGACACGTTTTGCAGTCATTTCAATTATAATGTATATAACCTGGCTATAAATATAATAGTGACACTAAAAGTAATCAGGATCTCAGATCCTTCGATCTTAAATTTACAAAAATATATGTTATCAGTAAACACCAGAAAGGAATAGATTTTAGCTGAAACGTTGGTAAAATTATCGAAAGAGGACAGAGTTATGGTCCAAAAAGGCATCCGGCTTCACTTAAAAAACAACATTTCAAACTAAATATTCATATTAATTACATCAGTGAGGTTGTTCTTCATTGTCAGGGAGCAGGAGCTCCTCTCTGTTTGTAGCATTTATTATTCTTATTGTTATTATCCTATCGCCACTTTGCGCGCTGTGATGAAGTGTTCTGTGGCTGGTGGTGACAGGCCCTCCTCCCGCAGCCAGGTGAGGGAGGTCCGGCCGATCATCCGCCATCCGGAGAAATGGCAAGCTATCAATTATCCTCCCTCGCGCTCAATGAGAGCCCGTCCTGCCACACAATGGTGGCAGCACCTCAGAACCTCAAAAAGAAAGAGAGAGAGTGTGTGTGTGTGTGTGTGTGTGTGTGTGTGTGTGTGTGTGTGTGTGTGTGTGTGTGTGTGTGTGTGTGTGTGTGTGTGTGTGTGTAGCAGTGATAATCTCTTGTTTGGTTTCTGAGGCTCTGAGACGTCTGACACCATTGGCCCGCGTGACCGCCTTTCCAAAGTGTCCCGGTGATTGGCCCGTTGCACGTGGATGTTATTCATGTCCCTCCGCTTAGTGTGTGTGAGTTTGTACGAGTGTGTGCATCATGGTGCTGTGATGTGTGGACTTTGTGAAGATCCGACTGTCATACAGCGGTGCATATCTCTGTGCGTGGAGCAGTGTGCACGAGCAGCTATAGCAGTCTCACCGTGAGCCACCGACAATGACGCGCCGGAGCGCATTTACGCAAACAGGATGTCCACAGTTTGCTCCTAATTACATCAACCAATATTTCTAAAAGCAAACGCAACTATGTTTTAGTGATTCCTGTTGTCATATTGTGGATAAAAACAAAGGCCCGTGCTGTGGGAGTGGATTGAGGGAACAGCCACGTTCTTCAGAGAAGCAGCGATGGAGGAGCAGCAGGACCCGAGCAGCTCGGACAGCAGTGAGGGAGAGAGCGTCTCCCCGGATCCCAGCCTGCCTTCGCCGCCCATGTTACCTCTGCAGGTGGCTCAGCAGGCCCACAGAACCACCAACTTTTTCATCGACAACATTTTGCGGCCGGACTTCGGCTGCAGGAAGGAGCACGGCCTGGGCCCGCGGGAGAGGGCGCAGAGCTCCGGCCGGGAGCGCGTCCACCCGGCGGTCAGCAGGCCGAGCCTACCCGGGACGCCGTGCCAGGACTCCAACTGTAGCAGTGACAGCACCTCGTCATCCGGCTCCTCCACCTCTTTGGCGAGTCCCAAAAAGAGTAACGGCGGCATCAGCGGAGGAACCGCAACCTCCTCCACCGGGAGCAGCGGCCTGAAAGCCGAGGAGAGAACTGGCGGTGAGACCGGGGGGGACACGTCCTCTTCGGTAGTGGTGCTGAGCGGTTCTGGGGGGTCCACACCGGAGACCCAGCCACTGCTGTGGCCGGCCTGGGTCTACTGCACCCGGTACTCGGACAGGCCCTCATCTGGTAAGGCAATAGTTTCATGAAAGAAATTCTCCGAGCTTGCATTTCGTTTAATAATGGAGGAATTCATAAATCCCGTTCATTTTTATCTGACAGAAACATTTACATTTATCCTAGGCTACATGTAGCAGTTTTCATTAAACAAAACAAGATTAGTTATTTTTTGAGAAAGTAAGCGGGAAATAATGTTTTTAGAAATGGAGATCACAATTTTGTGATTTAGCTGACATGTTGTTATTATTATATCTTTATAACCTAAAATACATTTTGTGTCAAACATATGCAGGTGTTTTTAATCGAAAATGTATTTTGTAACACTGGTGTTGAAGGACCTCCTTTTGATTTCTTAGAATAGTTTATTTCTGAATCTTTTAAATATTAAAAGTCCGGGTCTGTCGTCTGTGTTAGAAGCTCTATCATTCCCGCCAACAGGGTTCAACGCAAAAAATGTTATAGTTTATATTTCACATGTTTATTTCAATGTCCCCTCATTGGAACAAGCAGTCAATAAAACATCCATACTGTTATATTGCATTTAATGATTAACAACAACAGTAACATAGCCTGGGTGTTTTACATTTAGGCCACAACATGAAATCAACGTAAACGTTTTTGTTTTTCCCGCTTTCTCTGTGCCTTTCTGTTCTGGTATTTTAAACGATAACATTTATGTAAAAAAAAAAAACTAATAATAACTAACCTTCTCGTAGATAGGCCTATTGTTTATGTTTCGTAAGTCTCAAATAACAAAAGAAAAACACGCAGCTGGGATTTGTATGCACAAAGATGTGCATATCTAGGCTATGTTATTCGGTGTTCTGATTTATTAAATATCTTCCCTCTTTTAGACACAAGTACATGCAGGGACATTTATCAGGGCTTGATCTGATAACATTATGACTGTGGCAGCTCGTGCGCTGTGACACGTGCAGTCATCATTAGACAGGATATAGTTATTGTGCGCTCACTGAGCTGCTGCGAGGTAAGCATGCAGGGATCAAACACAATGGAATTAAAGGTAAATAATGTCTGTATGAGACATTTTGAATCCATTAACCGCCCGTTGGATTTGGGTCTGACTTTAGCTGACATCACTTTAAATTTCACACACACACACACACACACACACACACACACACACACACACACACACACACACACACACACACACACACACACACACGCACACACACGACACGAGCGAACGGACACCGAACGGAGGGAGTAGTAGG